CTGATCGCAAAGGGGGAATTTGCAGGATATGTACAAGGTCCAGTGCAAAAGTAGAACCGACCGGCTGAATAGATCAAGAGAAATCAGAGGCCGAACCACCACAGCACTCAGCCCATTCGGATTATAAATGCAATTCATGGCCGACCTGAACAGACAAGGGAGTCAAAGGAATTGCTCAGAACGCGATTACGCCAAGCCCAGTTGAAGAGAAAAATTGGCAGTCTACATGCTTTGCACCAGCAGAACGCATCCGCACAGATAAAGTTTGATAGAGCAGACCTGTTATGCGTTCAGGTTCCTCGTGAAGATCCATTGGTCGTCAGTCTAACAGTTGTAGAATGCCTGGTATGAAGAGTTTTGATTGATCCAGGAAGCATTGCAAACGTCATGCCCAGAGTGACATTCGACCAGCTTGAGATCGAACCTGAGAAACTAAAGCCGATAGGAAATCCATTGCTAGGATTTGATGGGAAGCGGGTGGAGCCTATTGGAATGGTGGAATTGACAGTACAAGCTGTTGAGAGAGTTTTGACTGAGAGTTTTGTGGTCGTGGAAATTCATCCATCCTACAACCTCTTGATGGGAAGAGGGTGGATTCACAGAGTTCAGGGTGTCCCATCAACCCTACATCAAGTGATGCGATGCTTGGGCCCAGATGGGACCAAGGTGATTGACATTCAAGGGGACCAGGTTACAGCTAAAGAATTTTATTCAGTGACTTTGAAATCTGCTGGAAAGGGGAAAAATCCTATTCGTTCTGCCAGTCCAAGATAGTAATTACAGGAACCTCCACTCAGCAAAAGTGGAGAGGAGGAGCCGCCAGTTCTGACCGCAGAACCTCTTCTTGATGTGCAGATTGACCATAAGAAGCCGAACTGAGCAACGAGGGTGGGATCCAGACTTACTAAGGAAGAAAAACTAGGATTAATTGGCTTCTTGACTCGAAATGCAGATGTATTCGCATAGAGCCATTCAGATATGCCAGGGATCAGTCCTTCTGTGTCCTGTCATTCCCTTAATGTGGATCCAAGAGCAAAACCTGTGAAGTAGAAGTAGAGAAGATTTGATCCAGAACGCAATCGAATTATAGCTGAGGAGATTAATCGGTTGCTCGAGGCAGGATTCATTAGAGAGGTTCAGTACCCGGCCTGGCTCTCCAATGTCGTTGTTGTGCAGAAAAAGAATGGGAAATGGAGAGTGTGTATTGACTTCATTAATCTGAATAAAGTTTGCCCAAATGATAGTTTCCCATTGCCACAGATTGATCAAATGGTGGATGTCACACTGGGTACGAGCGACTAACCTTCCTAAATGCTTATTCCGGTTATAATCAAATCCCCATGGACCCAATTGATGAAGAGAAAACCTCTTTTGTTACTGAACGAGGTACCTATTGCTACAAAGTCATGCCGTTCGGATGAAAAAATGCTGAAGCTACTTATCAGAGGTTGATCAGCAAGATTTTCAAAAGCCAAATGGGGAGAACTGTATAGGCTTACATTGATGATATGGTGGTCAAGAGTAAAAAGAAGGATGATCACTTAGTGCACCTACAGGATGTGTTCGATGTGTTAAGGAAGTACAGGATGACGCTTAATCCGGCCAAATGCTCATTCGGCGTGAGCTCTGGTCAATTCTTGGGACATGTGGTCAATTATAGAGGAATTGAGGCTAGCCCAACCGAGGTGGAAGCTCTGATCAGAAATGCAGAACCAAAGACAATTAAGGAAGTGCAGGCACTCACAGGTCGAATAGCTGCACTGAGCAGATTCATTTCTAAGCTCTCAGACCGTTGTAAACCATTCTTTGATACAATACGAGGCCATGGAAGGCAAGCCTTGGGGGATGAGCAACGACAGGCACTAACCAACCTAAAAGATTACATGCGCAACCCTCCGGTTCTATCTGCTCCCGAGCCAAATGAGAAGCTTTTTTTGTACCTTGGGTTATCCAGTATCGTGACCAGTGTCATTCTGATCCGTTGCAAAGACGGAAAGTAATTCCCAGTGTTTTATGTCAGCAAAACAATGGCCGAGCCGGAAAGAAGGTACTCAAAGGCCGAACGGATGATCTTGTCATTGGTCAACGCGAAAAGGAAACTCAGGCATTATTTCGAATCCTATCTGATTATCGTCTTAACAACCTTTCCTATAAGGATGATCTTACATAAGCCAGACCTATCAGGAAGAATGACAAAATAGGCCATTGAGTTGAGCTCGTTTGATATTACATATGAACCCAGAACAGCAATCAAAGGTCAAACGGTGGCTGATTTCCTACTTGAATGTGATGCTGAAGACTTGGTGGAAGATTATAGTTGTTCCTTATGGAAGCTCTTTGTAGATGGCTCTTCAAATCAAATGGGGGCAGGGATTGGAATCCAATTGCAAACACCAGAGGGCACCTGTAATACCCTTAATTTCAAAAGGATAGTCGTGGTATTTCCTTTATTGGTTAAATTTAATTTTTTTTTAATTGTTTATCTGTATATGTGATTATTTAATTGCTTTCATTATTGTTTTATTTACTTGTTTTAATTATTGATTTAGTTGTCGTAAATTTATTTAATTGTGTTACTGTTTTACTTAGTGACTTAATTGTATTAATTATTTAATTGTTATTTAATTATTTTGTGGTACTTCGTTGTTTTAATTTATTGCTTTAATGATATGTTTTATTTACATTTAATTAGTTTTATCGTGACTATAGGATTGGTTGCATATATAGGTTACACAGTTTAGAGCCGACATTGGTATTAACCTAGATTTTTGTATGGGCCGAGTAAATCCAGTTAGGGTATAAGAAAGCCTTGGATTAGTGTGGCCTATAAATACTCACGTAGGATGTCTGCCTAGGGTTTTAGAGATGTACTACGACATAGTAAGGCTGAAAGGAGTTTTGGAGACGGCTGGGAAAGAACAGAGAGCAAACACAGGATTTGCCGAAAAATTGAGACAAACGTCGGTGTAAGGCAAGTTCTATCCTTACTCTCTCCCTTAGGCTTCATGTTCTTTGCATTCTTAAACAATTCTAGGATTAATTGAGTCAATTATAAATTTTCTCCGTTCATGCTTAAACTGAAACATATTAGTATGTGTTGCATGCTTGAAAAACCTATTAAAACATGTTATTTGCTTGCTTAATTCTCTGTTTAAACCTATGTATGGAATGTAATAAAGACTTAAACGTGGATTGGGAACATACTGGGATTGGGTTACAGGGTCTGAAAGCCATGGCAGTGAGGTTTAAAGGCTACAGAAGTCATCGGAAGGAGAGGAGACGAGGCAGAGAGGGAGAGCCGGCTCTCCCTTGGAGAGAGCCTGCTCCCTTTGATGTGGAGGCAGCTCCCAAGTGTGGGAGCCGGCTCCAAGGTCTAAAGGAGGCGGCTCCACATTTTGGGAGACGTCTCCTTTGGTGAATTTTTATTTTTCTTCGTTCTCCAGTCAGTTTTTGCATACAGTGGTTGATTCTGGAGCTTACAGTTGAGTGCAAGGTTGAATGTGGAAGGACTAATTAATGTACATGGATAGATTAAAGCTTCAGACGTGGTGTTAATCAAGTCTACTTGCTGAGAAAAGCTTGGACAGTAAGGATTTAATCGAGTAATTACACTGTGTTTAAATCTGTGAAGCTAATAATGTTAACTCTCTTTGAATTAGTAATTTTCTGATATGAATGATATAATTGTAACATGTTTCACTATATACCATGATCATGTATCTGAATTATACATGTGTAGGATGTGTTACTGTTGACGATGTTAAGTTTTGAATTTAACATTAACTGGATTTTGTGAAACAACCAAAATTGAGCATGTATATATACATACTGTAATTCTGTCTTGATGCTTGCACTGATACTGTTAGTATCAACTGTTAAAGGAATGAACTTTGTTGATATTTACTTTAAATATCTATAATATCAACTGCTGAGAGTTGAATGATAATTTGAAATAATCCTATCATTATATCAGATTTTATGGAACAACCTAAACTGAGTAGGTTTGTATATATACTGTGACTATGTTTCTTGATGCTTACATTATGACTGTTAGTATCAGTGATGGATATAAAACTGATCATGTTTATGTATATAGCTGATTTTGTTTATTGATGCTTACACTATGCCTGTTAGTATCAGTGATGGAGATATGAATTTAGTTAATGTTTACTTTAATTGTTGGTATTATCAACTGCTGGATGATTGGATAGTATACACCAGTATGGGATGGTGGTATACTAGGGACGGTTTGGTTTCAAAATACCAAAACCTACCAACTCTGGATTAAGAATTGGGTTAACTAAAAGTTAAGTCCTATTGATTGTAGTGTCATGGCAACGACTAGTTGAGCGGCACTACCAGGATACAGGATGGATTTTAAATATATTATTATAGTACCTCGATATGAGCTTGAGTCTCAGGATCGACGGTTAGGGAGTGTATATGCATTGGGATGCATAGCTGGATACGATGGTTGGAGGTATACCCTGTTTAGGTTTAGGTACACATATTCACTTCTTGTGCGTTTTAGCATGTTACCTCTATTCAGGTTGAGACCGGCCTGTAGTCCAGTGAGAGTCCTTTAGTGTGACTATATATATATATATTTACGGACTATTAGCTATTGTTAAATTGCTTAGAGTGTACATGCGTATCGGGCCTCTGTTTGGATTGTAGTAGTATAGAACTTGCACGTGGGCCTGACCCACTTCTATTTTTCAGGTACACGACAGTTCCAGACTTAGACGTATTCGTGCTGAGCAGAGGTTTCTACTCACTCTACCGATGATGTAGGATTTCTCTCCATAGCTTATATCAGGATGTTCTTTCAATTGTTTTATTTCAGTTTGGATTTTTATTAGGGGTCCACTAGAGTTGGATTCCCGAGTTGTTAAGCTTATGGAGTTTTGGATTGTCAGATTTTCAGAATTCAATTTTTAAAGGATTTATATTTAGTTTCTTTCAGCTTAAATTTTATTTCTTAATTCAATTTGTATTCTGTGTTCGCATTAAATATTAATTGTTTGATATTTCCCTCGGGTTTGGGCCTGGGCCTGATCAACCCGTGTCTCGGATCCGAGGGGTATCACAGTTGGTATCAGAGCACTCCAGGTTCAAGTGTCTCTAGGATATTTCGTATTAAGTCTTCCGCGTAACGTTTTCTCTTGATTAGAGCTTAAGTTTAGGATTCATTGTATTCTTTACGGTTTGTTTAGAAATGGTACCGATGTCTGTCTTTTCGTGTTAACAGATGGTTAACGCTAGAAACGGACAGAACATGCAAGGAACTAGGAAGGAAAGGAGAGCAGCTCGTAGGCAATAATATCTCCTACGGTGTCAGCAAATGGAGGAAGAGCAGCAAAGGCTTGGGTTTTAAGATGGTGATGGTCAGGTTCAGGAGGCAGTTCAACAGACTCAGGATCAGGGAGGAGATCCAGAGTATCCTCCTCACATCAATGATCTCATTGCTCGGGCTATAGAAGCTGGGGTAACAGCTGCACTTCGGAATCAGCCTTAGGTACAGCCGGCACCGCTACCAGCACCGGTTGTTCAGACTGATACTTGGGAGAAGGCCAGGAGTTCTTTCATAAAGGGGAGCCCACCTGAGTTCACAGGCTCCACCGATGCGAGAGCAGCTCACCAGTGGAAACAGGATATCGAGCGACATTTTCACTTGGTTCAATGCACAGAGGTTCAGAAACAGATACTTGCTACCTTCAAGCTAGTTGAGGATGCACTGCAGTGGTGGGAGTCAGTTACCACCATAGAGGAGA